AAACTGTGGCCAGAATGTGTAGACAAAAGGGATTTTGAAGGATTTGAGGCTAACCCTGAGAGGAGTATGCCAGTTGAGGAATCAGTTGTGGCATTGGGGAAGTCCTTGGGGTTGGAGGTTAGTGGGGATGATGTGGAAGAGTTGGTGGAGGAGGACATTGAAGAACTAACCACTGATGAGCTGATAGATCAACTTCAACAGCAAGAGGCCAGACCTGAGGAAACTGGTTCAGAGGAGGGGAGAGAGAAATTGAAGAAGTTGTCTACTACAAAGATTAAGGAAATCTGTGCAATGTGGCTGAAAGTGCAAACCTTTATGGATGAAAATCACCCTCACACAGCTATTGCAAGCCGTGCTGGTGACTATTACACTGACAATGTTGTGAAACACTTTAGGGAAGTCATAAAGGAACGAGAGGTATAGGCCACTATGGACAGATATGTTGTGCGACAGAAGTCCAGTGACTCTAAAGCTGGTCCTAGTGGCATTAAAAGAAGAAGGGAAGTAACCCCAGAAAAGGACTTGACACCTCAAGTCTTAATGGAAGGGGATTCCCCTTCTAAACATTAAGACTCTCTCCTCCTCCCATCCCATCAATCATCACCAGATCTTCAATAAAAGTAAGTGTCATGTAATTGTGCATGCCTTTTTCAGTTTGTGTGTATTAAAATTAATATTTCATGTGGTAAAATTTTTTTTTTTTCATACTTTGGGGTGTCTTGCACGGATTAATTTGATTTCCATTATTTCTTATGGGGAAAATTCATCCTCATAACGATAATTTCGCATAACAATGAGCTCTCATGCACAGATTAATATCGTTATGCGGGGGTCCACTGTATTACCATTCTGACTGCTGCCTTTTGCTGGGTTATTAGTGGTCTTAGGTGATTTAGTTTTGTTGATCCCCATGCACAAATTCCATATGTGAGATAAGGGTAGATGAGTGAATGATACAGTGCAAGGAGAGCTGATTGTGGAACATAGTATCATATCTTTGATACTATGCCTACAGTCTTAGAGATTTTCTTGGTGATTTGTTGTATGTGTGTCTGGAACTTGAGGCTACTGTCAACGTGGATTCCTAGGAATTTTCCCTCCGCGAGTCTTGTGATGGGTGATCCGTTTGGCCTTATGTTCAGTGGAACATTTCCAGCTTTGTTTCCAAACTGAATGAAGTAGGTTTTGTCATTATTCAGGGTAAGTTTATTAATCATCATCCAGGCAGATATTTTCTTCAATTCGTCATTGACAGTGTTGGTGAGTATGACTGGGTTTGGGTGAGAGAAGACGTATGTAGTGTCATCTGCAAATAATATGGGTTTAAGTAGCTGTCACTGATGTAGTAGCTGTCATTGTAGTATGTCATTGATGTAGATGAGAAAGAGGTGTGGTTCAAGGATACTTCTCTGTAGGACTCCTATTGTGATTGATTGAGTGGAAGAGTTTGCACCATTTGTGTACACATGTTGGCTTCTGTTACTAAGGTATGACTAGGTAGTTGAGGGAGTGGCCTCTTATACCATAGTGTGTTAATTTAGTGTACAGCATTTCATCGTCGACTTTATCAAGAGTTTTACGTAAATCATTGAAAATTCCCAGCAGGACTTCTTTCTTTTCGAGAGCAGTATATATTAGTTCTGGCATGTGTTTGATAGCATCATTTGTGCTTTTATTATTCCTGAATCCAAACTGACAGGGGTTTAGTATGTTATGTGAGACGAGGTAGGAATAGATCCGTCTATGAATTAATTTTTCAAAGATTTTAGATTGGAGTGGTAAGTTAGATATTGGTCTATAGTTATTCAAGTCAGCTTGGTCACCTCCTTTGTGGATTGGAGTGACCCTTGCTATTTTGAGAATTGTTGGGAAGGTGGAGGATTCAATGGATTTGTTAGAGTATTGCAATAATTAGTGACAATACTCGAGAAGCTTTTTTGTACATAAAAGTTGGCAAGTTGTTAATGTCTCCTGCCTTGTTTTTAAGGGTGTTAATGATGAGTGAGACTTCTGTTGGGTTGGTTGGAGCTAGGAATAGTGTGTTCGGGTAGGTGCTCGTGATGTAGTCTGATGGACGGGTGTTTGAGTTTGGGATTTTGCTCGCTAGGTTCTTTCCTATGGTGGAGAAGAAAACGTTGAGTCTGTTTGCTGTTTCAGTTGGTGGGAGTAGGGGTTCGTCTGATTTTGTTAATTTGATTGTCTTGTTTTTGGATATCTTTTTAGTTCCAAGAATTTCAGATAGAGTTTTCCAGGTCTTTTTCATATCACCTTTGATGTTTTGTATGAAACTGGCCAAATTACCAATTTCTGATCACTTTATTGGGTAGTTGAAATAGTTGATTAGGCGATTTCTTGTGCTCAATAGATAAGATGGAACACATACTAGTGAAATAGCTAAGAATTTGGTCTAATGGAACTATGTAATTGGCCGTAAATAGGACTCAAACTGGGCAAAATTGCCGATGCGTAAATATCACTGACAGCAAAATTCACAAGAGCATAATTTCGTCAGTTTTTGTTTTATTATCTTCGGAAAAAGATTCTCTACCATTTCACAAGAAAAAATAATAATTTTTTTGTGCAAGAAAGGTATACAATAAGGACATGATGAAAGTTAAGACACATGTGCAACATCTGGTTATCTTCATTGTAGATGTTTCGCCATCGCCAATACATAAAGGTGGTGACCCTACAAATGTCAACCACTATAGGCCAATATCAAACTTACCATTCCTTTCCAAAATCATCAAGAAACTCATGCACAGGAGACTATATTCATTTATAATGGCATAAAACATCCTCAACCCCTGCCAGTTTGGATTCAGGAAAAATGAAAGCACTAATGATGCAATTGTAAAAATGCTAGATCTGCTTTACGCAGCATTGGAAAATAAGGAATATCTGATAGGAATTTTTATTGACCTAAGAAAAGCTTTTGACACAGTAGACCACGGCATCCTACTCCACAAACTTGACCATTATGGTATAAGAGACCATGCGCTTGCATATTTCAAATCCTACCTTACTAATAGGTATCAGTATGTCACCATTAAAGACACAGCCTCATCAACACGGCCACTTGATACTTCTGCAGGGGTGTGTCCTTGGACCCCTGCTCTTCTTTATTTAAATCAATGATCTTCCAAACGTATCCCAACACCTGAAACCCATTCTCTTTGCTGATGACTTTTGTCATCTTTCACCCTAATCTTGCCACCCTCAACACCATTGTTAACGAGGAGCTGCTCAAAATATCGACTTGGATGACTGCCAATAAACTTATACTTAACACTGACAAAACCTACTCTATTATGTTTGGTAGCAGAGCAGGTGTTGCGCAACTTAACATTAAGATTGACAACACTCTAAGTGCCAGACATAATGAGGGCACATTCCTAGGCCTATACCTCAACAACAACCTGAATTTCAGCACCCATATCCAACACATAACAAAAAAAGTATCCAAAACAGTTGGGATCCTCTCAGATATATGATACTACGTGCTGCAAAATGCCCTTCTCACACTGTACCATTCACTCATTTATCCATACCTCACCTATGCTATTTGTGCTTGGGAATCAACTGCAGCAACACACCTAAAGCCAATAAATAACCCAACAAAAAGCCACAGTAAGAATAATCACTAAATCCCATCCCTGGCAACACACCTCCCCACTCTTCATAGATCTAAACTTACTCCCTGTTCAGAACATCCACACTTACTACTGTACAATCTACATCTACAGGACCTTAAATTCCAATATTAACCTTGACCTAAAACACTTTCTTGATAGTTGTGACAGGACCCACAGGCATAACACCAGACTCAAACATCTCTACGACATTCCCTGTGTCCAACTAAACCTTTACAAAAATTCAATGTATGTCAAAGGCCCTAAAATCTGGAACACCCTACCTGAAAACTCTAGAACTTCAGGCACATTCATCACCTTCAAAACTACGGTTAGAAAACATCTTATCTCCCTGAAACACTGCACCAACTAACTACATAAAACCACCTGGTGGTTCATACTTACACTCACTCACTCACCTATTTGACTATAAGGACAGAAATTTGAATCTTAATCATAAATAATGATTCCTAACTAGTCATAAGTTTTCTTGTGATACTCCAATATAGTAACTATGTATTGTGCCAAAACAAAAGCATTCACATTGCTAAACTCACAAACTAGTATTTAGTCACTTAGTATTTAGTCAACTTACTCCATAATTTGTAATAATTTAGGGTTAAGAATTAATCTAAGTTTGCCCGAAATGCCTAGCCATGCTAGGTGTCCTAGTGGCCCCCTCTGTAGTTAGTATTTTATTACATGTAAACCACACAATAACCAAATTCTGTAAACCCCACATTGCAATCCTTATAGAGAATAAACTTGATTGATTGATTGTTTGATTGATGCAGTGGCTTTATCAATACAGATTCTAAGACATAATTAGAAGACAGTAGAACTATATACAAAAGATGAGGGACTGATTACCTCATCTTTTGTATATAGTTCTGTTGTCTTCTAATTATGTCCTAGAATCTGTATTGATAAAGCCACTGGATGGCAAAACATCTACAATGAAGATAACCAGATGTTGCACATGTGTCTTAACTTTCAAATTTTTTTTTCTTTGAAAATTCTTGGACCCTGCGGGAAATTTTCAGATTGAGGGTCTGGACCCTCAAAGGGTTAAATAAATATTGGCTGTTTTTCACTAAAGCCAAGTAACTTAGAAAATGAAGCACAGTTATCATTTGCTCCCAAGCTACTTTTCAAAAGGAAACAGTCATGTTAGTCCCGTGATAACCCACCAAACTAAACTGTAACATTCCCATCATCTTGTGCTGAATTGCAAACATAGATTTAGCTCTTGATTAAATGTAATACAATATATTATGCCATTATATTTGGAAATTTTGTTTGAGATTGTTGTCTTAGAATCACACTTACTGCAGTTTTTACCTTGTATTCTTTCTTTACTTTTTGCAGTTGCATGCCTTATCATGTGGCCTCAAAGCTCTGAGCTCCAGTGATGCAGCCTCAGGAATAGAAATTTGCCGCCTCGCTTGTGGAGGACATGGTTACCTATCATCGTCAAATTTGCCCCGAATCTACACTACCACCACGGCTGCTATTACATATGAAGGAGAAAACACAGTCATGTGGTTACAAGTGGCTCGGTAACAACAGAAAGGAAATTAATGCCACCTACTCACCCTAAACTAAATACTCAATACTCAATATTTAACTCCACAAAAAATCTCTCAATTATCTAAATCTTAAAACCTCAAATCTAGAAGCCCAAAGTTCATACATTATTAACCCTTTGACTGTTTACGCCGTATAAATGCGTCTTACGTGCCACTGTTTCTGATGTATTTATACGCATAAATTCTAGCGGCTTCAAATCAAGCAGGAGAAAGCTGGTAAGCCCACATGTGAGAGAATGGGTCTCCATGGTCAGTGTGCACCATATAAAAAAAATCGGGGAGCCAGTGGTGCATTGTGGGAATGCCATTTCAGTCGCAATTTTTCAGCATGCTTAGCGGTAAGAAATATGTGACTCCCCAGCATTCTGGGACTCTTCTCTTCCCAAGTGATGCTCTAACACAGATGGAAGTGTCAGTGAAGATCAATTTCATGATTTGGAGGAGTTTGAGACCAAAAGCAATGGAGGAGGAGGAGGAGGAAGAGAAGGAGGAAAAAGAGGAGGAGGAGAAGAGGAGGAGGAGGAAGAGGAGGAGGAGGAAGAGGAAGAGGAGGAGGAGGAGGAAGAGGAGGAGGAAGAGGAAGAGGAGGAAGAGGAAGAGGAGAAGAGGAGGAGGAGGAGAGGAGGAGAAGGAGGAGAGAAGAGAGGAGGAGGAAGAAGAGGAGGAGGAGGAGAAGAGGAGGGGGGAGGAGAAGAAGAGGAGCAGGAGGAGGAGGAGAAGAGGAGGAGGAGGAGAGGGAGGAGGGAGAGGAGGAGGAGAAGAAGAGGAGCAGGAGGAGGAGGAGAAGAGGAGGAGGGGAGAAGGAGAAGAAGAAGAGGAGGAGGAGAAGGAGAAGGAGAAGAGGAGGAGGAGAAGAGGAGGAGGAGAAGAGGAGGATGAGGAAGAGGAGGATGAGGAAGAGGAGGAGGAAGAGGAGGAGGAGGAAGAGGAGGAGGAAGAGGAGGAGGAGGAGAAGGAGGAGGAGAAGATGATGATGATGATGTAACAATATTGTTCCCTTGAAGCAAGAAAAAAAAAAGTCCACCCCATGACAGTGACAAGGGGAGATAACATCTGATAAGAGCTGACGTTTGATGAGCGTAAACAAGGGTGGGGGAGGGTGTAGCGGATAAGAAAAGATTAGATGACCATCGCCCTCCCTTTGTTTTTGCTGGTACACAAACATTTCTGTCTGTCTATTTGTCTGTCTGCCAAGCTCCCTGTCTGTCTGTCTATTCATCTAGCTCTCTGTCTCAGAGAGAGCCACAAGACTGCATCATCATCATGTTTACTCGCATCTTCAAGCAGAGTATAGCACTTTGTCTGGATTTTTTGGGTTATCCTAGGTAATTTACACTATGTATACTTGTATTTGTGTGTACCTGTGAGACAGAGATAGACAGACAGATAGAAAGAGAGAGACAGATTGAAAGAGATAGAATGAGGGAGAAAGGTAATTAGTTAGAATGGAGGGGAAGCAGCATCCGACCCCATTGTTTTGACAGGCGGTAGGGGGAGTGAGTAATGAGACAATATGTCATTTTGACAGCTGCCAACTCACGACTCAAAACAATTATAAGCCACACACTTGCACACAAGACAAGCTTGCTGAATGAAGATAATAGCAGTTATATGAAAGTATCTAGTGACTATGTATGTGTATATATGTAACAGAAACCAGAAGGAAGAATGGAAGGCAGGAATGAAGGAAGGATGAGATGAAAGGAAGGAAAAAAGTAAGGAAAGATGAAGGAATATAGGAAGGAAGGTAGGAAAGGAATGCAGGAAGGTAGGTAGGAAAGGATTGCAGGAAGGTAGGAAAGGAAGGTAGGAAGGAAGGTAGGAAAGGAATGCAGGAAGGTAGGAAGGAAGGTAGGAAAGGAATGCTGGAAGGTAGGAAACGAATGCGGGAAGGAAGGAATGATGACACACAACCATTTACCTAGGATAACTACATAACACAACTACCTGCTAATACTTTGAAGAAAACTGCTCAGACAAGGTGTTTTGTCTTTGCACATAAAAAAAAGTCCACAAAAATGCACACACACTAGGTTTGTGTGTGAGGAGTATAAAACACCATTGTGTATGAAAACATGTTTCAAAGAGTTCCACAAGCTGCAGAACTTCTAGGAATATGTTCGGTGACTGTACATTGGTATATATATTATAGAACAATAGTAATAAACAATTTTTTGTATTTTTGTTTTTGTAAACAAGTTTTGTAAACAATATATTGATAATTATGTTTGTGTGCTTATTGTGTTGTATACAACGAGTGTATATATGTACATTGCACCATACTTTGGTCTCACAGGCCACATAAGTTATGTGTAAAAATAAAATGGTGAAAAAGCAACAAACCTTCAAATACAAGTAAACCAAAGTTTACCCGATCGCCGCTGTTGCCATACGCAGCTCATTTCCTGCAAATTTCACCCCTCTATATCTTGGTAAGTACTGATGGCAAAAAAATTTTTTTTGGACTAAAACACACTGAAAAATAATCTTAACATTTTCATAAGAAAAAAATCTTTTTTTTTTTTTTTTAATATTTTGCGACATAAAATGACAGTTTCAGAGAGGGGCCTGCGACAGTCAAAGGGTTAATACAACGTTGTATTATAAATACCCACCCAAAACAATACTGCCTTACACCCAATTGTAGCATTCACATACTGTAAGCTACTTTCAACAACTCACAATTTTATATTCCCATAATATAATTTCAATATTCATTATTGAAACTGTTGTAATTAGAGTAAAATTACTGTCGACTATAAACAAAAAAGATGTAGTCTGTAAGCCATTAAATTAAGTCTGCCCATAATGCCTAGGCATGATAGTGGCTCTCTTTGCAATGCAACTCATTATTGTAATTTCATAATCTCAATGTAATCTTGCAAAGAAATAAAATTTGATTTCATTTCATTTGATGGTTTACTGAATCAGCCATTTCATTCCAAGGCAGAGTGACATAAAGATGAAAACATTCACCATCAGAAAAGTGTTAACATCTCACTTTAAATGACTTTCCAAATTACAATATCCTGTCCATCTTTCAGAGTGCAGGCACTGAATAATAACTTTGGAAGTGTGCTAGTAATACATAATACTGTATCTCAGAACAACATTTGTTCAGTTTTCCTGCTAATTCATGGAAACTGTACAGATGTTGCAGGTTTCAAGTTTGTTTTTACTGATGGGCAACCCATGAATAGATTTGAATATTTAATGGTTTTCTGGCTAAATGGATATTTCATGTCCCAAATATTTCTTCTTAAGAGCCATCTTTTTCCAAGGCAGGGTTATCCAAAGAAAACACATTCATTCTCATTGATTCAAATGCTCTCTTGTCAGAAGTGTGCTCACATCACAGTTCAGATTACTCTCTTGACTACAGCATCCACACCCATCTTTCAGAGTACAGACATTGCCCTTCCTTCCCTTAGGACTTGAATGCATCTAACCGGTTTCCCTGGATCCCTTCATAAAAGTTACTTTCTTCACATTCCAACATCTCCATTAAAAACCACTTTCTCCATTCACTTTTGCCTAACATGCTCACATAAGTCTGCTGTATGTTCAAACCACTGAACTTCAAAGCCACTTTAGCCACCCCCTGCCAATCATTACTGGGATGATTCCTACCACTCATACTCTCCACCCCAGATTTATACACCCTCATTGTCAGCCTATCCTCCATTCCTTCTACATGCCCAAACCACCTTCGTAACCTCTCAGTCTTCTGAATTATACTCATATTTACCCCACATTGGCATTTAATTTTTACACTCTGGATTCTCTGCATGATCTTCACACCACAAGTTGCTCCCAAACATGATGTCTTCACTGCCTCTGGTCACCACCTCACTGCAATGATCAAGATCCATACCTCATACTCATATAAAACTGTTGTTATCACTATGTTCTGGTAAAATACATTACTTTTTCTTGCCTCCAGAGATCATTTTTTTTCCAGATGCCTCTACACTCCATCCACATATTTCCTTTCATCTATTCTATGGTTTATATTGTCTTTCATAGACCCATCTGCTGACATATCTACTCCCAGTTATCTAAACACATTCATTTCCTTCATACTTCCTCTCTCCTATCTGATATCCAGTCTATCATTGCTAGATTTCTTTTTTGCTACCCTCATCACCTTGCTCTTTTCTACATTAACTTTTAATTGCCAACTTTTACATGCCTTCACAATTTCATCCACCAACCTTTGCAACTTGTCTTCAGAATCCTCCAAAAGTTCTGGAATCAGTGAAGAGCAACTGTAATAACTCCCACTTTGTATCAGCTTCATATTACTCAAAATGCCTGTTATAATTTTATATTGTCATTCTTCTGATATATTAACTATATTCAAATTCAACTTTTTATTTCTTTGTGTAGCATACATACTGTAGTTTTACATGTAATATGGTACTGTTAAACACAAAGAAAGCCACTGTCATGCATGAACATTTTGGGCAGACTAATCTTAATGGTTTTAGACTAGAGTAGAGCCCCACTTATACGGCAGGTTAGGTTCCAGGCTACTGCCGGAAAGCAGACATCGCCAAAAAGCAGAGTGCCAAAAAGCAGAATGCCATTTTTTTCCACTTACAAATGCACATAAATGCCAGATAACAAGTTTACACTAGCATATATTAAGTTAGCAATAGAACCAAGCATTAAAAAACAATAAAAAGTAAAATACACACACAGTACACTCATTATTTACCTCAAAATATTTGTAGTCTTACTATAGGGCAAAAAGTGAGTAGTATTTACTGTAAGAAGTCAGGTGTGGTAGCTCTCCTGGCCACCCCACCCACACGTAATATACTATGACGATGCTTGAAGTGCCCTCGAGTGATAAGATGCATATACAGTACACTCATTATTTACCTTAAAATATTTGTAGTCTTAGTGGTCTTAATGTAGAGTGAGAAAGTCATGTGGGAGGTAGGGTAGGGTAGCCTGCCTGGACA